CGTCGTCGTCGTCGTCATCGCCATCGTTGTTGTCAACGTCGGTGAATTAATGTTACGAAAAATTATGATACCGGCATCTACGAAGCAACGTAAAAAACTTTGCTTCCAAGCTAACAATTACTCTTCTGTTTATACTGTCATTTAAATGAAAGGCAAGCAAGTGAACAATTTTTTTCCCCTTTAAGTGAACATTGTTGAAAATTAATTTCTTCTTCTCTTCATCATCTCATCATTATCGCGAGAATTGTTTTGTTTTTTATGCTAAATTACGAACATGTAAAGCTATATATAAAGCATATAAACGAGTTTAATTTAAGAGTACATAAAATTCAGCTCTAAAACTAACGATGACTGTACCAGTTTTTGATTATGACTGAAATTAAGATATGTAACAATTATCTAACTTTCGTTATTCTCGATTCTAGAATAGGAAAAAGAGATGCTCGAATTAATGGAATATGAAGCGCACGCTATTACAAAAAAAAAAAAAATACCTTCTCTACTTTGTAACAATAACAGGAACGAAAATAATGCTGACTGGTTTTAATGCTCGAATAGAATGGTTTATCCTTCTTTTTTTACACTATATATGTGAAATAATAAACTATCCTGATAAAGTCGATCAAGTATATTTAAGTATAGAGTGTACTTTTAACAAACATACCATAAATTTTTCTTTTTTCTTTCTTTTTTCCTTTTGAACTCTTTGGCAGGGGTACTTAAATGCAAGAGATTTACGATTATTAATAACAGAGATAACTGTGTAAAGGCGTAAGTGCCAATGTAAACTAAGATGGCTATGAATAAAACTAACAAGAAATTTTAAAATACGATATATGCGATAATTTTTCGACTACACTTAATAGGAGGGAGCACATTTTCATTACTGCGTTACATTCGTGTTAGTTTCTTTTCATCTTTTATATGCTGACATTTACATTAATTTCTCAAGGATACGATGATGAACTCGAAATTAATATGTACCTGGTAAATAGTTAAAATTAAGATATGGTTAGATTTCGAAGGAAGCCTACACCGTCCAAATTGGAATAGTTTGGATAAAAACGAAAATTAAATTACTTTAGTTTAGACAGTTTCTTATGGATACATGTCTCTTATGGATAGATGTCAAAAAATTAGTTCCAGAAAACAGAATTTAAATTTGTTTAGCTTTTTGAATAAGAATTTTACATTTCCTAACTTGGACGGAATTGGCATTTAAATCCAATCATATCTTAATTAGAACTGCTTAACAGAGATCTTTCAGGATTTTTATAGCGTCCTGTTAAGGCACTGGATAAATCAAATTTATTTACACGTCCTTTAATATATCTTGCGATTAGAATCTATTGAATTCAATCATTTGATGACACGTGAACAGCGCAATGATCAGCAATGCGCCTAAAATTATTTACATTTTTCTACCGTCTACGCAGACTTCACGTGCGCAAGCGCTATTTTGCGATGGGTTATAATTATCTAAAAAAAAGTACAAGTTTTTCTTCATTTTTTTTTTTTTTTTTTTTTTTTTTTTTTTTTTTTTTGTTTAAATTGTTTCGTTGTATATGCCTCACAATGTTTCCGTTCTAACATGATACGGAAGTGTAAGCAGATGCGAGAGAGATAAAAAGTTTCTCAAATATAAATAATTGGAGAGGTTCAAAACATACTTCCCATAAGGCGGGACAAAATACGGCATACATGACAATCAAATAATTAGTAACGAAGTTACGTATGATGTGATTTAAAAAATAAATTTATATAAAATACATAAATAGTTTCCCTTATTTAAAAATTATATATTTTTACATATGTCACCGCACGATGGGACTGTATTCATATTGTCAAAACGATTGCAACGCTGAGAACCAAGCTTCAGAGCCGCAAATAAAGTATATATGTATATTTTTAGACAGTTCCAAATACGAAATCTTAGCCGTCCGTCCATCTGTCCATATGCATAAGTGTGGCATACACCAATTAACGTCAAATTGCTTTCTCCTTATATCGGTCTGCGCTTATATCCGAATATATATATATATATTTCTTTACGTATCGAATCAAAGAGAAAACCGGTTTTCTAACTTGCAAAAGGTTTTTATAAAAATTGGTTGGAAAAATTATATTTGAATCCTATAGGAAATCCTTTTAATCGGAATTTTTTTTTTTATTATTATTATTCATTGCAGCACATGGTGCAAGCCGGCGTTGCGCCATATCCGGGCGCACCGACTGGCTATCCACCGACAACAGCACAAGTAGGCGCCGCCACGGATGCTCTCTCGATGGCGGTAGTCAAAGCTGATCCAGTAACGGCACAAATGAAAGCTGATGCAGCTGCAGTTGCCACTAATGGTGCCACTAATACAAATGTTACATCGTCAGCCGCAACTACAGCCGCTGTAGCACAATTGTATATGCAACAAAAAAAGGTAAGTGAAAAAAATATAATAAAATAAAATAAGTACATATATATGGATATATCACAACTCTCACACAATTCTCTTCATTTAAAACACACACGTGTATATTGCTGGACATGCATAGAATTCAAGAAACAATTTTGTTTTTGTTAAATGTTACATAATATAACAACAAATAGAATTTTTTTTTTTTTTTTTTGTTACTTATATGGAATGTTTAAATGGCAATTTAATGTCAATGGTCGATCTGTATTTGTGGTGTATGGTGGATGTGTATGCGTACTCTGTATAACACTGTATTGTGCATACATTTTATGTTATTGTTTTTCATCGTTGTTTTACGTTATTTTTATTTTATTTATTTTTATTAATATGCTCTCTCTCTCTCTCTCTCTCTTTCTGCCTCTCTTTCACTCACACCCACTCAGTCTGTCTCTTTACTCTTTCTATTCTCTCTCTCTCTCTCTCTCTCTCTCTCTTTCTATGCCCTTGCCTATATATACAGTAGAGCAGCATGTATTCACACATACATAATTCATTTACTCGTATATAGTGATACTCTGACATGCATCTGAGTAATACAATAATAATAATGGAAAGAACAGTTACCATTTCAAGCTTTCATCTCCCTATATATATATATATATATACATATATGTATATCTATATATATATATATATATATTCTTTTTTTTTTTTTTTTTTTTTTTTTTTTTTTTTTTTTTTT